TATGTGTAATGTGAATTGAAATGCATTCTGCTGTCACATATAACAAATTAGAATATGTTTTTAAAAAAATAATAAACAATAATTGACACAACTGAAAAGTGCGTGAAGGTTTTAAGTGTAGTGTAAGCCTTCTTCCCAATTCTGAACCCAGTCACACAGCTCCCTTCCCCTCATAGTTGTCTCCTGTGTGGCATTCAAGGAGTTGGCTTGTGAGATGGCATGCATTCACAAACATTTATTGAAAATCTAGGACTAGGGATGTGGCTCAGTGGTATTGCACTTGCCTGGCATTCTTAAGGCCCTGGGTTCACTCTCCAGTACTGCTGAGAGAGAGAGAGGAGAGAGTTCTGGGAAAGGGAGGAACAGTCTACTCTTTGCCTTTGCTAGGTACTGGGGACCTTCTACACTAGATGCCATCTCTCCCCATCTTACAGTCTATTGTGTAAAGACACAAGAAAGATCTTGAGATTTAATTTACAAATATAAGAAAAAATTAGATATCAAAATAAATGAGAGTGATTTTCAATTCCAAAACATTCACACTGTCTTTAATATAATTTAAGAGCTATATAGAGCAGGAGAGTCAATATTAACATATTTCAGGGGCATGCAAAATGCATTTTGAAGTGATCTTTCTAATTCTAAGTATGAAAATTCTCTAAAATAGCTTAGTGTTCTTCCCTAAGCTAGCCCTGCTCAATCAAAATTAAAAGGAAATGATTTAGACAGGGTGTGGTAACACATGCCTATAATCCCAGTAACTCAGGAGGCTGAGGTAGAAGGATTGCAAGTCCAAGGCAAGCCTCAGCAAATAAGTGAGGCTCTACACAACTTAGCAAGACACTGTCTCAAAATATAAAATAAAAAGGACTGGGGAATGTGACTCAGTGATTAAGCACCCCTGGGTTCAATCCCAGTACCAAATAAATAAATAAAAAAGAAAAAAAGGAAAAAAAAAAGGAAATGCCTTAGATTATTATTAGGAAATCCAAGTAAGAAAAAAATTAAATATAGTTCCAGGTGTGCTTTTTAAATTTTGTACCAAGTGAATGCACTACCTTTAAAATAATACACACATTTTAAAATTAGGGCGCAGGTTTTTAAAAATGGATTGAAGGGGATGTTGTTGTGGTAGAGCACTTGCCTAGCATGGGTGAGGCAATGGATTCATTCCCCCTCAACACATAAAAATAGAAACAAATAAAATAAAGCTGTCCATCTACGACTAAAATAAATAAATAAATAAATAAATAAATGTGTGTGTGTGTGTGTTTTAATGGATTGAAGGTAGGTGGGAGGAATTAGGGGTCCTGCCTCCATCCACTGGGAGAAAGGACGACCCAGTTCTGAAAGAAGAATCCCAGGTATCCTTTGATTCTAATACCAGAATCGCTCTAACTAGCATGGAACTTTGAGAAACTGATTTATTATTCCCTAGTCTGAATTCAATCCTCTATCAAATAGGGATGACTACATCTTTCCTACCTCCCTACTGGGCTGTAAAATAGCCAGAGCCCTTACCTTATTTTCCTGAGAAGCACCTACTCATCCCTGAAGCACCATTCGAACATCACCTCCTCCCTGAAGCCTTCCTAGGCATTCCTGGACAGAAGGAGTTAGTGGTTTCATCTCTGGGTTTCAGAAAGAGATATCTCTAGCATTCGCCCTGTTTGCTTGCATAGTTGTACTTCTTTCAGTTTCTCCCAGGGCCAGGAAGATATTTTTAAAAAGAGTTGGAAGGGCTCAAGGGGTCACCAGTTACTAATTAGGAGTTCTAAGAATATTTGTGTAATGAAGGGTAAATGAATGATATATTTTTCTTTGCCCGCATTTGTACATGCTTCAGACATGATTCTGTAAAGAATACGGTTTCTCTTTTTAGTAACAACGTTCCTGGGAATAAAATCATAAACAATGTTAGTTTGATGAATAATACTTTTTTTTTTCCTTTCAAAAATTTTCAATTCCCTTGGGGTGTCTTTTCAATAAAAGAAAAGGTTTTTAAAGACGTCTGAGACAATGCTCGCTGTAGTCTCCGCATCTTATCTTTACCCAAGTATCTGGCTCTTTAAAAATACTTTAAGATACTCAACGGAGGTTTGCTGTAAGAATGAACAGTCTAATTCTTTAAATGATGCCAAACAAACCCAAGCCTTTATGGGCTTTTCCTAGTACTGGAAACGTTTGTGTGAGATCCATATGAGGAAAATAAGGGGCAAAAGTGGACGGGGAAACATCGCTGTTGTAGTTCCAGGCAGGTTAATTTGGCTGTTTTGAAAACTTTTCTTTCAGATATCACCAAATTACTAACGGTAGTGATGCGGTCAGATCTAATACTGGGGGTTAATTTTCGGAGCTGCCCCCTTTCCACGCTTTTCTTTATTTCTCAGTGGCCCGTGGAGCCCAGCATTTCCACGGCGGTGCTTTGATTCTGTGGCGCCCTTCCCTTGCCGCGAGAGGCCGAAGCAGACACCCGACGGTGCCCAGCATCTCCTAGCAGGAGCCTGGAAGACCCGCGTACAGCCCCGGGCACCCGGACGTTTTAGCGCGAGAAGAGGAAGCGCAAGGACTCCCGCCCGCCGACTCTGACGCGCAGGCGTGCTGGCTGCTTCGGACCGTTGGGCCCCTGGGACCTAACGTCACCGGAACTCGTAACTGGCGGTGGACAAGCGGCGGAACAGAATGGTTGACGTACCGCCCCGCCGTGAGGCACAGCTGAGAGGCGGAAGTTAAGGGTACTGATGCAGCTGGGGGAACTTTGCCTGGATCGCACTTTCCTGTTCGCTACTCCGCCCCCGCTGGAGGGGCTGAGCTCTGGGATTCAAGATGGAGTCGCTGAGTCGAGCTGGGCAGGAGATGAGCCTGGCGGCCCTGAAGCAACACGACCCCTACATCACCAGCATAGCAGACCTCACGGGCCAGGTCGCTCTGTACACCTTCTGCCCTAAAGCCAACCAGTGGGTGAGTGAGGTTTATCCCTAGAAGACGCCAGTCCGGTTGCTGCCGCCTCTTAAAGGGACAGCGCAAGCTTCCTGGCGTGGGGGGCAAAGCAAGAGGCCAGGGCGGTGGAGGCGAGGCCAGGAACTGGCCAAGAGCCGGACCAGGGCTTCAGGGGTGTCGGCAGCGCGCGGGGTTAGGCCGAAAGAGTGGAAAAAGTAGGCCCGAGACATCTCAGGAAAAAGCCGCTGGAGGCGGGGGGGGGGGGCGATTGGAGCAAGATCAGTCCCTTGGGGTCAGGTCTGAGGACGTGGGCGACTTGCCTTCTTTACATATGCATTAGGGAATATGAGACCAGTAGGACGAAAAGATGCCTGAAAGCTTACATTTGAAGCTTCGAGGGTTATTAGATAAATTATATATACATAATCTAAAAATGAACACCCCTTCTCTCCCCCAACAGACATACACGTGAGCCCTCTTCCCAGAGGTCATTAGGAGTTGAAATTTGAAATCCAATTAGTTTGAGTGAGTTTGGCTTTAATTGGACTACACTGTATTTCCGGAATTTTGGAAAAGATTTCAAACAATTAAGGAAGGGGCTTCTATGTTAATTGGATTCCCTGGAGACCTTTTACAGGGAAAGGAGACCGATGATGTCACCTCTGAATGCTACCTTCAAACTAAGTACTTACTAGCTTTTTGTGCACCAGAGAAGATCCAAAAAGTTGTATTAAGTCTGTTCACTGACTTTTGTTAACTCTTGCTTGAAGCTTCATTAGTTGTTTACATAACATAAGTTCCCCGTTTTTGTGATTGACCCTTTCTAATTAACTCTTTCAACTATAGGCTTTACACCGGTAAAATAATTCATAAATGTTGGTTAGATTAAATTCATCAATGGCATTCACATTTCAATGAGAAATCCTTAAACAAAACTGAAAAGATTATTGTAATATGTTTTTTACAACATACAAATGCATTAGAATTTTTAAACTGGAGTTTGTTTTAAGAAAGAAATACAAGCTACAAAGACCTCAATTGAAAAATAAGCTGCTATTTGCTTATTTGCATCATGACACATAGGGGATAATCAAAATCTTCTCTGTTATTTTATACTGAGTTATAACTTTGCACAATGTTTTTTGGGAACAAATTTTCTTTTACTGTGAGGCAATTATCAGTTTCTGTTTTTCTTAATTTTTTGTTATTTGTAAATGGACACGATACATTTATATTATATTATTTTTTTTTATGTAGCGCTGAGGATCAAATCCCATGCTTCACACATGCTAGGCGAGTGCCCTACCACTGAGCCACACCCTAATCCCAATTATCAGTTTCTTATACTTTTTTTTTTTTTTTGGTACTACGGATTGAACCCAGGGGTGCTTAATCACTGAGCCACATCCCCAGTCCTTTTTTATTTCTCATTTCAGGACAGGGTCTCACTAAGTTGCTGAGGCTGGCTTTGAACTTCTAATCCTCCTGCCTTTGCATCCCAATTTACTGTAATTATCAGTGTCCACAAGCACACCCAGCTACTAATAACATTTTTAAAGGCAAGAAAAGGCCTCAATCCTTAGGAAAGAAAAGTGTCACCATGATATTTAAGCTAAGGTAATATTCTTTGAAGAAGTCAAGACAATAATTTATTTTTAATTCCAGCAAATTCAGTTTGATATGATTAACATTAAAGTTTTAAAAATTTGCTAGTACTGGGGTTGTGGCTCAGTGGTAGAGTGCTTGCCTACCATGTGTGAGACACTGGATTCATTTCTCAGCACCTCATATAAATAAATGAATAAAATAAAAGTCCACACATCTAAAAATAAATAAATAAATAAGTTTGTTAGTTACATTAAAATTCTTACAACCAATCTAGACTGTGAATTGCAGACCGGTAGGATGATTTACTTTTGAAAATGAAACAGTGTAACTGTTTAAAAAATCTAAATAAGCTCTTGTAGCAAAGAAAAAGTGGTAATGAGTTGCTTTCTTAATCATATTTTCACTTAAATTTAATTTTTTTTCTTAGAGACCTATAGTGATTACTTAAGGCAGATTATAGTTTCAATATCCATAACTCTTCAACAGTTCTAAAAATATCAAACTGATAGTTATTCTTAACTAACCACAAAATTTGTTACTCTTAAAAAATACCAAAAATCCCTCAGTGATGAAACAAAGTATCCTGTAAGAGTTAATTCTACAGTTTTGTCCTTTATTAGTTAAACAGGAAAAATGTTGCAGGTATAAATATGTTCCTGGTTTAAACATTGCATATGTATGCATATGTATGCACTAATAACACTGAATGGATACATGAGAAACTGGTAATAGCAATTTGTGGAGTGAGAAGGAGACTTCCTATTCAAAAGTGTGGTAAATATAACATGTTGATTTTAAACATGAAGCATTTTTTCTCCATTGGGACTTTTGGAGTTGGATTTTAAGAAACACACTAATTGATTCATTGTCTGTTACAGGAGAAGACTGATATAGAAGGGACCTTATTTGTATATCGAAGGTAAGCTTTTAAAAAAAAACTAATGATGGGGGACTAGGAATATAGCTCGGTATTAGAGCGCTTATCCAACATGCATGAGGCCCTAGGTCCAATCCTCATTACTACAGATAAGTAAATGAAATACAATGGGGAGCAATGTCATGTGAAGTGGTTCATTTCTGTTTATTTATCTTTGGAATTTTCCTTCTTATTCCCTTCAATTTTTCATCCACTCCTAGCTGTGAGATTCTAACCCTTCTCTTATCCTTCCTGTGATTCAGAATAAACAGAACTAGAATTTATTTAGGAGTCTAGCAAAATCATTACAAAATAGAATGCATTTTTGAGTGATGAATGAATCTGAAACAGATGCCTGCCTTTCATTCCCTATATTTAAAAAGGACATAAAATAATATATCCAAGTACACAGACACACATATGAGAGAAAGAGTTTATATATAAATTAGTTCTATAAAGTAAGTAGTTGAGAGTTGATCTCTGTGTTCTGTAGTTTGTTTTGGGAGTTTTGTTTGTTTGTTTGTTTAACTAAGGATTGAATCCAGGGGCACTTTAACACATTTTGTGAATTTTGGTTAAAAGTGTACCAGATAGCACTTAGTATAGAATCACTTAATATAGAAGAAACTGGATTTGAAATCAAAAAACCTAAAATTAAATTCCATTTATATTATTTGGGTAACTGGGCATAGCCATTAATCATTAGCTTATTTCCTAATCTGTAGAATAAAATTCTGTTACCTCCCCATGTATGTCACTGAGAAACAGTAAAATATTAGATACATGTGAGGAAGATCCAAAGGATTGTGTTCTCCCATTATGGGAACTAATACACTTATTGTAGGAGTCAGGTCTTTTCCATCTAATTCAGAAGAACTATGTGAAGACATATTTGGTGTTAAGAAAAACTATTATTGTAGTGGTAGACATCATTATAGCCAATTCTGTACCATATTTAAAATAAGTGATACTTTTTCCAGCAAATATTTATCATACTTACTATGTGTCTATCTCTGGGAAACATCTGTGAAAAAAAATAAGACAGAAATCCCAATTTATATACAGCTTACATTCTAGTTGGAGGAGGAAGCCAATAAAAATAAAAAATAAGTGGAATGGATGAAGAGGGAAAAGTCAGGGATATTTAGGTTGGGTAGTATTAAAAATGGTAGTTCAGATAGGCTTCATTGAGTAGGTAATATTTGAGCAAATGCTCAAATAAGATAGCTGTGTTTTGGGGGTACTGGTCCAGACAGAGGTCTTTAGGAAGAAGCACTCCTGCAAAGAGAGAAGAGCCCAATGTGGCTGGAGCAGGGGAAGCAAGAAAAGAGAATCAGAGGTTAAAGTGGGGGTGGAGAATTGGGAGTATGTCTTGTTGGTCTTAGTAAGGACTTTGGCCTATATTCTAAGAAACTAAATCCTAAAACTTCTGAGCAGGGATATACAAGGTGACTTAAATTTTTTGTTAATGGTTTTAAGTGTGATATTATATAATGTCCTAATGTATTCATTTTTTAAAATGAAAATAAAGAGGAGATAACATTTCTGCAAATTAAAATGTAACTATGGATTTTCTTCTATTAAATCTCAGGTCAGCTTCACCTTACCATGGTTTTACCATTGTAAATCGACTGAATATGCACAATCTAGTTGAACCAGTGAATAAAGATTTGGAGTTTCAGCTTCATGAGCCATTTCTTCTGTATAGAAATGCAAGCTGTGAGTATATATGTTTATATTTAAGTCAATGACTTTAATCTCAGTATATTATTTTTGGAGTTTGAAACTAAAATACAAAATGTGGACTACACTCTGTTTTATGATTATAAATGAGTCTCTTAGTAAGATCAGATCTTTTGTCCTTGACTCTAAAATTGGAAATACTTTTTTGTATATAATAACTTATGTTATTTTAGCTAGCTATACTATAATTAGCCTTCTGTTTTGTTTGTTTTTTTGAAAATAAATTTTACTCCTTTGTTTTTGTTATAGCACTGGACTCTTAGCTGCCCATGCCCCTGAGCAACAGAACTTAGTTGAGGAAACACAAGATGGGAATACATACTTATACTTCTTTCCACAAAGAAAGTATGGGCTTTTATGGGGCTGGGGTGGTAGCTCAATGGTAGAGCACTTGCCTAGCACATGTGAAGTACTGGGTTCGATCCTCACCACATATAAATACATAAATAAATAGATAGATGCAATTTTAAAGAAAAAAAATAAATAAGTAAAATAAAAGTATTGG